GTTCCCTATGCGAGGCGAGCGGGGCTCAATAGACCCGTGTGCTGCCCTCGCAGAATTTAGTTACCGAGTAGAAGTGCAGCCGATTTGCTCCTACACTTTCACTGATGTCTGATCCTACAGATCCCAGGTTTCTGGTAAAGTCACTCCAAACAGTGTCAATTAAACATTTCCTCTCCGAACGGAAAATCTTAAAGCTATGGACGTACACCAGAACGGATTTGTGTTTGCTCAGGTGAACAAAACCTGCTTGTTAGGAAGAAAGTTCGTTAAAGGGGGCTTGGATTGGGACCTTTTGCAGCCTGGCTGCGGAAATCCGAAACACAATCTTCATTTTCAGGGATTAAAATAAAAATAGTGATGCTTCACATACACCGCCCCAAAAGGAAAAAAACAAGCACCAAAAAAAACCCACAAAACAACCACCCCAAAACCCCAAAAAAATTACAAAACAAACAAACAAACAAAATGATGAAATCTAACAATCCCCCAAACTCAACTTCTTTCAGTGCTCTTTGAGAAGCAATGCACTTCTTCTTGCTGGCAATAAGAATATTTCACATGATTCTTCTCACAAACAGGATGTCTGGAAAATTATTACTCAGCCAAGCTAGGTTTTGGATTGTAACTTGCAATTCGCTGCATTCCACAGGGAGAGAGATATGGAGCGAGTAGCAGAGTGTCTTTTTACACCTTTTTTTTTTTTGCTTGTGCACACCAGTGGCAGGACAAAGTGGCAGAGACCGAGAGGCTAATTTCTCAGAGGGTATCTCGGGAGCCTACGCCCATCTCATACAATAAAATCTCCGTGTCTAAACATGAAATGAGCTCCTAGGTAAAGCCTCAGCAAAGAAAACAGAAGGCTTGTGGAAATGCTGAACCATTTGAGCACCTGTTTTTCAAGACAGACAGTTCTCTTCGTGTTTCACACACCCCGTCCCCCCCCCTCTATTCTATTGAGGTGCTTGATCCCATTCAGGAAAACATCAACACTTCCCTTCTTCCCCTATAACCATCCCTAAGCCGCCCCTCACTGCGGGGCCAGCCCTCCCGCGGGAACACCCAGCCCTTATCTTCCAAGCTTCACTGTCCATTTTCCCGGACACCTGGAGTGTGCGTATGTGGAAGGAATTGAATAATACCCCCGAAATTCGTTTAGCTGAGTCGCAGGTAGCGCGAATTTCTTGCCGTTCAATCCTTACATAAATGTCGTGCTTTAACTCTTCTGGAGGGAAGAGAAGTGTTGGTGTAAAAAAATTAAAAAATAAAAATCTTCTTTCTTTCTTCATCCATAGTTAAAAACCGATATTAGAAATGGGGAGGGGGGACGGGAGGGGATGGGGATTCCTGGAGATTTGAAAGGGAGATCATCACCCGTGTTGCTGCCGTTCTCACTTTATTTAAACAAACGCAGGGGTGTGAGGAGATGCCTTCAGCACGCAGTAGCTCTGCTGTTTCGGCTGGAAGCTGCCATCGCGAGCAGCAGCGGCTGCGGACCCAGAAACGGAGGTCCGAACCCCAGTCATGCATTTCTTTCCCCGAATTCTTTGGCTGTTCGGCAGCGAGACGTTGGAAATGTATGCGGGATCCTCGTCCTGCGCTGGGTCTGTAACTTGTGCCGTCAGGAAGGGAAGGGATTCCAGGACGGCGGGGCTGAGGCAGCCTGCATCCCCCGGGGGAGCGCAGCGGCACCGCAGGGTCCCGCGCTGTGCGCGCCCGGCTCGTCCGGGGACAGGCTGCCCCCAAGGAGCTGCAGGGCCGAGCTCCTTCACACCGCCTCTGGCCACGAAACGTCTCTCCATCACACATAACACCCTCTCACAGAAGGTTTGGGAGATACTCCATCTCTGGAAACACAGCGGCACATCTGCATGCAGCTCTTAATAACGGGGCTGCCTGGCGGAGGGAGTAGGTCCCTGAAGAAAGATGCTTTTGAAAGCTGTCTCACCTCAGCATAGAATTTGTTTTCCCTTTGCCGCCTTCTCCCCCGGGATCTGTCCAACCCCTCTCAAATGGTTTTAGCCCGCTGAAGTCAGCTTTCTGTTTTCAAGCTCTTAAGGAGAACGAATGCCATACGTGGCGCCAATTCTCCCCTAGGTTACATCTCTCCTTCCCTTTGAAGTCCGCTGGGTTGCACAGAGGTAAATGAGAGTCGAATTTGGTCCCTGAAGCTATCGGTGATGTGGAATCACTCTGATATTTATTTATTTATTTATTTATTTATTTATTGTTTCCTGTTGAGGAAGGACGGATTTTAAGACCCGGTTAGAGCTGGTATCGCGCTCTATATTTAATACTCAGATATAGCAAATATATATATTCTTATATATAAATGTCGGCGCTAATCTCGGCGGGGAGAGCTTCGCAAAGACGGGGCGATGAAGGAGAGGAGTCCCCGCTGCGGGGAAGATGCTGCAGGAGGGTGGTGTTTTCTCAGAGGAGCGGGGGTGAAGAGCACAGAGGACACCGCAGCCCGTCCCCATCTCGGTCCCCAGGCGAGGACAGCGCTTCCACGGGCCCGCGGGTCAGCCGCCGCCGCCGGGAGGGCCCGATCCTGCCGGGAGGGAAGGGGTGGAAGGGGTGCCAGGGTGCGGAGCAGCTCGGTGGGAGCGGGGGCTCCGCGCCGCCAGCGGGACCCGCGCATCCCCGCGGAGGGACCCGCGCTCCCTCCAGCCTAGTGAGAGCCCTGCTGCTGCTGCTTGCAGCTCCTGGGGGTTTGCGTTCGTAGGAGATGCTCCTTGTCCTCGGCTTTCCTGGAGTTTAATAGCTGTCTTTAAAGAGGGACATTTATTGGCATAAAAGTCGATTGCAGTCTGCAAAAACTTTGCATGTGTCTTTCATTTAAAAGACATCTACAGCTCCATTTTTTTCCCTCTCCCTCTCTCTGTCTTTCTTCCCCCCCTGCTCCCCCCCTCTCCCCTTTTTTTTTCCCCTTCCCCAAGGCATTTAGTCCTTTTTAGGCACAGTGATAAACACGCTGCCGAAGTGCCAGCGCACGGAGATGCGGGGGCAGGGAGAGGATCCGGAGGGTCCGGAGCAGGCGTTGTTCCAGAAGGTGCAAGGAGGAAACGTGTCGTTTTTCATGAGAAATCTGGGTACGGGAGCAGCCCTCGGAGCGGCCCTGGGGCGGGCTGCAGCCTCTGTCCCGGGGCAGTCAGCGAGCCGGCCCAGCACCTGGCCGCTCGTCCTCCCGCCGCTCCAATCCCTCTTCTCCCGGGTCTCACGGGAACCGCTTCCCCTTCTCCCTCCCCGCCAAAGCGACATCCCCACGCCACAAAAACCCCCGTCCCACCCCAAGACCCCGAGCACCACCGCTGCGCTCTGTCGCGACAGGGCTCCGCGCCCCGCAGCCCCAGCCCGGTGGCGGCGGCAGGTAACGCTGGGAGCTGGGACGGAGGCGTGGGGGCAGCAGCCCGGCCCTCACAGATGACAGGGAAGGGCAGATGGTGCCCACAGCTGCTCGACAGTGGTGGCTGAAGAAAACACCCCCCTACCCTTTTCTCCGGGAAAATACCAGGTTAGAGACCAGCTGAAGAAGCAAGGGAAGCTGCCTGCCGGGAGATACGCTGGACCCGAATTGGCCTTCCCTTCACCTTTGACTGGGTTCACAGGAAAGGTCTCTAAGCTGCTCCGCAGCCCCGGCCGGCCAGTGCTGCCCCGGCGCTTCAGCCGCTCATTAAAGCCTCCCTGCTTCTCCCTCCCCGCCCCAGCGGGGGAAGGGCCCTCCGAACTGGGTTCTGAAACAGCCTCCGTAGAAAAGACAAGCGCGGGCCCACCATGCTGAAATCCTCCTCTGGAGTGATTGTAATCTCGGGTTTACTTTACTTCACAGAATGCTCCTTTCCCGAGGAAGCACGGAGGATCTTTTCCGTAATTCGTGCCTCTTCGAAATAGTCCGCTATCTCTCTCGCCTGTGTTTTAAATCTTATCAATGTGCGAAAAGACCAAGGAATTCAACACTTCGAAGCTCACACATCGGGTGGAAACCACCCGCTTTCCCAATATCCATAGGAATGCATGCATATATGGCTCATTTCGTTTTCTTTTTATTACCTAAGACTTGAATAAATACTTTCATTTAGAAACAGTATTGTTTTTTAATGATAACATTTCAGGAGATTTAAAATAAAGGTCGGTTTTAACCACTTTTCACAGACGCATACACACCTCCAACCCCAAACACACACACAGAGACAGACAGATCTGTTTCATAGCAGACAAATTCTCTTTTAGGCCAGTTTTCTGTTGTGAGAGAGTTCTAGCTTTAAGTTTCTCTAGTTTACATTTCCTCTACACAAACAACTGCCTACAACATTTCTTTCTGTTTAACTCTAGGACAAAACTTCTGAGCTGTTTAATAAAGAAGGAACACCGGTTCTTAATTTTACAGCTTCAGAGAACAGGACTACAGCTACCGACGTATCAGTCAAAGCGATTAAAGAAGATCCTTTACTTAAGGGTATGTGCCCCTGAAATTACCTCGCTCTAAGCCTCTCAGAGAGCTGGGAGGAGAGGGAGGGAAGCGAGGGATTACTCTTTCCAGGATCCCTGGAGAAATGAGAATAGGTTGCCGAGGGGAAATGTCCTTTTTATTTGTCCTCCCTCCCCTCCCTCCCTCCCTCCCTTTCGCCCCTCACCCTCCCCGAATGCTTGTGTGTGTGTCTGTCTGAAACAGATCTGTCTGTGGAAAATGGGCCTGGAACTCCCTCCTGTGTTGGGATTAGGTCTTGGGGACCTGGGGTGGAGTTAGACTGCTTGCTTATTTTCATATTCATTAGAAATGGGAGGTTGCACAAGAAGTCGTGCTGCGCTTCAAGATATAAGAGCAACTTCGGGTTCCCCTTTCAAGACAAGACAAATCAAAGGCTCAGAGGCAAAAGAGCTCTCTAAGCGCTGAACGCCTCTTCCTCCCTCCCTCCTTCCTTCCCTCCCATCCACTCACTCTCCCTCCCTTGCTCACAGTCCAGTCTCTGTCTAGGGAAGAGGCTCTCAAGCAGCCTTAGATGATTATGGATTTTCTGAGCGAGAAGTTTGCCCTGAAGAGCCAGCCGAGCAAGAACAGTGACTTTTATATGGGAGCAGGAGGCAGTTTGGAGCACGTTATGGAAACTTTGGACAATGAGTCCTTTTATAGCAAAACGTCAGGCAGCAAATGCGTACAGGCCTTCAACCCTCTGCAAAGAGCTGAGCATCATGTGAGGCTGGAGAGGACATCGCCCTGCCAGGACACGAACGGTGAGTCGTCATCCCAGAGTTATTCCCCCTCCTGCAGATGTACGGGGGAGGGCAGGGATTCTCCCGCCCAGGGAGACCAAAGGCAGCTGTGCAGCCCTCGGATGTGGGCAGGCGAGGGCTGTCAGGTCGTGGTGAAATAACAGTAACAGTAACAATACTGCTGTTATAATAGAACTATCTCTACTAAAAAGAAAAAAAAAAATTCGGGGAGAAGGCAAAGGGCTGCTTTGAAGAGCTCTTTTCCTTTCGGTGCAGCTTTTCAGCTGCTGCCTTCACCCCCGGCCCCGGCCCGGGTCTCCCGGCTGGCCGAGAGCGGAGCTCCCCCTCCGGGCTCGCCGGCGCAGCCCGCCCGTGGCCGGGGCAGCCGCCCGGGGGCGGACGGGCCGGCGGGTCCCGGAGGGGCTGCAGGACACGGCCGGGTCCCGGAGGGGCTGCAGGACACGGCCGGGTCCCGGAGGGTGCTGCAGGACACGGCCGGGTCCCGGAGGGGCTGCAGGACACGGCCGGGTCCCGGAGGGTGCTGCAGGACACGGCCGGGTCCCGGAGGGGCTGCAGGACACGGCCGGGTCCCGGAGGGGGCTGCGGGACACGGCCGGGTCCCGGCACTTTCCGGCACACCTTGGGCACCCCCTCTGGTCTCCCTCCGGCCCTCCCCGGCACTCCCGGCCCCGCTGCGAGCCGCGGCGCTTTCCCCCAGCAAAGTCCCGGGAAAAGCATCGCCGGCGTCGGAGGGAGCCCGGACACGGCCGGCTCTGCGGTGCCGGTCCGGGCAGGGAACGGGAGGCAGCCTGGTCATCTCTGCTGCCCTCAAATACCGTCCTGCGTCGGCAGCGGGGCTCGCTGCAGCGTTACCAATCGATATGGGACGGTGATTTTCCCGAAAACCCCGTCGGTCCCCGAAAACCCCGAACAATAGTGTTGAACATTTTATCAAGTATTAAATTTTTCTAGCTTATAAGCAAGGAGAATGAGGAATATTTTATTTTTAAAGCATTTAAAATCTTCTTCATTATTTTCTTCATATTATAGCGATTTTCATCCAACGTGATGAAAATCGCTATAGAAAAAAAATTTAAAAACTAATTTCCTAGAAAAATTGGAAAACATGGGTAAGATCAGCTGCAGTAAGACTAACAATATGATATGCTTTTCGACTTCATATAGTCATTGAAGTATATATTTTTGTAACTTTTTTGAGAAAGTTCTTTTATTTTTACGAAAAAAATGGTGAGACATTGATAGATTTCTTCAAGTGTAATTTAAAAAACAAAAACCTATAGGAAATTGATTTATACATTGAAGTTTTTCTTAATTACCTAATTTATTGTGTACCTCGAGGGCTTTGGGGCATTTCCTATCTATGTATGTGTTGATGGTAAGTATCTGAAAATTGTGTTTCATTGCAATCAGCTCGAATTGAAAGAAAAGAAATTACTGAGAACGTGAGACAATCTGAAAGCACGCTTATTATGTTACATAGCATCGTTGTTATTTTTAATTTCTACAGAGTTTGAATCTTTTTTTCCACCTTTTTCTTAGAAAAAAAATTTTGTTTGAATTCTTTAACTTATCTCATTACTTTTCCAGTGATGTGTGATAAGTAAAAATATTGAAAAGTAGGAAATGTTTTCATTTCTTATTAAGAAGCTACTGTGGAATATTTCTTATCTCTACCACTCAAGTTTTACATAAATTCAAATAGTTCCTCTGATCCTTTCACAAATTATATGAAACTATCTCTTTTAATGAGTTAACATTTTGCAGAAATGCCCTGTATTTTGTAACCATAACAAACCTCATTGGAAATAATTCCACTTCACAAATGCAAAAAAAGGCATATGGAATTTATTGAATTTTAAAAGCGAATTTAATTTTTGGTTTCATTTGCTTCCTAATTTGTCAGTTTACAACTATTAAGCTTACTTCACTGTTAGTTTGTATTTTCATAGAAATAGAGGTTTTTTTACATTTGCTTCCAAATTTAAAGGCACATTTGTCAATAGCTTTGTGTCTCTATTATGAAAATCTGTTTTGGGCTAAGATTCCTTATCTGTACAACTCTAGCTGAGGCTGATTTCATGCATTGTTAACTACTTTAGCAGCAGTAGTGGTAGGGTGAAAATATCCAAGTCTCTTGCACCAGTCTCCTTACTCTGTAAGTTTCCAGATGATATTTTCAGATATCATTCTCAGTTAAAATTTAACATGACTTAGCACTTTTATTCTATCTGTAGTTAATATTACAAATTCCTCTTCAACGATCTCATAAAGAAATAACAGTGCCACGATGGAATCTGGTTCCTTGTGAAACTGTTTTATATGAACTCCTGAATCTAAACACCTCTCCTTCCCCCTTGATCCTTTATTAACCAGCTGTTAACCCACCTTGCATGCAGTGAACTACGGGATTACTAAAGTGGAAGGACAGCCTCTTCACACAGAGCTGAGCAGGCCCATGGACAATTGCAACAATCTCAGGATGTCTCCAGTGAAAGGGCTGCAGGAGAAGGGGGACCTGGACGAACTTGGTGATAAGTGTGACAGCAATGTCTCCAGCAGTAAGAAGAGGAGACACAGAACAACTTTCACCAGTTTGCAGCTGGAGGAACTGGAGAAAGTATTCCAGAAAACTCACTACCCCGATGTCTATGTGAGAGAACAGCTAGCTCTGAGAACAGAGCTCACTGAGGCCAGAGTCCAGGTAGGACCATGTTTCAGCCTTCCTATGACAGATTGTGCATTGTAGGAATGAGTAAATTACACTCTCGGGGATTGTACAAAACCCTATAAAGCTAAAGTAAACAGCTCGTTTTGCCTCATTTCTTTATGGACACGAGCTGTTAGGCTGTAGTGCTAAAATAACTTGTTATTTTTTTAAATAGCTTGTGTTGCAGTTCTGAACACTTGTTTAAAGGACGAGAAAACAACATCAATAGTAAAACTGTCTTGATCTCTTGTAGAATTCCAGGCAGTGAAAACATAAGTTGTTATGTGTAAAGATCCCACTAAAGACTTGTTGCATGTAGTTCAGACTGATGACAGTGCAGAACTCACATGCAGAGGATTCTGTGTGTATCATGGCATGAAAATCACAGTCTAAAAAGTAACCAAATTCCTTGTTTCTATCCAAAGACTGTGCAGTGAAACTGTGCATACATAAATGTATATAATTATCTATTTATATATCTATATACTTTACATAGGGGTGTGTGTGTGTGAGTTTTGTGCCTGTATAAAACAAGAACATAATCAATTCTTCTTGTCTGTATGGAATGATCTTAGAAATCACAAAATTAGGAGGTACAATTTCTGGTTTTTAAATTTCCATAACTTATTAATAATGTTACTCTAGTTTTTGTAACAAAACATACTGGTGATCGCTTAGTACATTATTTGAATATTGTAACTGCGTACTAATGTGATTCATTCAGTATGTGCTCATAGAGCAATCTCAATAATATTTATGACTTTTGATGTGCAATGGTGAGAAAAAATGCTAAATATCCAGGAAATACATCCTTTCCCTTGTTTAGAGGTCTTCTGTTAGAAAAGGGTGGGAGCCACATTTTGCAAGCTTATCTTCATTTTAGATATCTTTCCTGTTCTGGTAATAATCATTATTTCAATTTAGAGAATAACAGTTCTGTTGATTCTTACAGACTGGGATTAATTTTTTTAATTTAGTGACTTGAATATGATAACAACTTCACAACTTGTAATTAAACGCATACTCACACATGCATGTAGAGAAATAGACAGCAGTGCACATGCATGCAAAGTGAAATGAAATCAGAAACACTTTCAGAAAAAGTCAGCTAATTAATTTTATAAAGAAGTGTTCTTTTCATGTCTATTCAAGCAGGCATCACATTTGCTGTTGTCATCAGAAAATAGAGTCCAAAACTGTGTGTTCAGTTACATCGATGTGATATCAGCAATGCCAATGGAATTTGGTTCAGTGGCTTTTAACTCTTTAGGCTCTGCACAATTCCTTTCCTGAATTTGGTACAGCTTTCCAAGTATCACTTTGATTCACTGGGATTTAGTCTTGACTTAAAAAAAAGAAGGTAGCATAATGTTAAAACACCATTCTAACAAGTGTATAATTCTGGAATACGAAGAACTACTACAAGAACAAATTAATAGTGAGAATAAGGAGGGGAAAATTGAACTAAAGTGTGTCATCTGACTTTTTTATCACATTTTTTTCCTAAGATTTAGAGGCTTCACATGGTAAAAGTATTAAAAAGAAGATAGTAAATGAAAAATGTATGTCTATATCAGACTCTCACAGTGTATTTATTTCTATTTTATTTAAACATGTTCTTACCTTTCTTAAAAGATAACTGATCTTTGCATTCTTATATGGTTAATATGGAAGGACATGTTGATCATTTCTGTCCAGAGTAGCAAGAGTATTCCATCACAAGATTAAGCAATTTGCAAGGCCTTACGTCATTAAAGGCAAGCATCTGGCAATTCAAGGATAACAAGCAGCAGATTTCTACATTGCTTTGTGGAGGCAAATGGTTACTCTATCTCTGCCAAGAGTAAGTTTCTAGTAAAGTGGTGTAAACAGAAACATTTTGGGGGATTGTCAAAGAAAAAAAAAAGTGCTTTTTCTCATTTACTTCTATGAATTCAAGCAAATTGTTTGATTTAGCGTAGCAGAGTGATCAGCTGGATACCTTACCCACAGTTCCCTTCACCACCATTTCATCAACATCCAATTTAATATTTGTCCTGCACACATGCAGAGAGAACCAACCTGAACCTAATTTATCTAAGTTGTTCTCTTTCCTGCTGCATGTCAGTCCAGTAATTGGTACCCATTTTAAGAAGATTGTCAAGGTCTTTATTCAAGGAAAGAACTTCATGACTAAATTTCCTTATCGCGTCCTTGATGCCTCTGTGGAGACAGGAGGTTTTTTTTGCCTTCCCTTTTCTTTTTGCTGAAGCTCAGGCATCATAAATAACACATATTTACCACCAAGGCTCCTAAAAATATATACTCAGGAGTTATATGCATGAGCTTTGCTTTGATTGCTGAATCTTTTAAAAGATTTGCATTTGCCACAAGTTCTTAGGAATCAAAATGAGTAAAATTATGCCCTGGTTGCTTAAGAGTAGTATCAAATGACAGTTGAGTTCCCCAAAGATCAATGCAAGAATGGAATCATAAACCAAACAGTTTTGTTTTAAATATCCCACAATATGGAATCAGAAAATGTCCCTCAAAACACAGGAAGTATCTATAAATAAAGCATCATTCATGTATGTATATATCAAAATTAATTAATGGTCAATTTAGCTGGATGACTAACCAACGCCATTGTTTCCTTTAAAATAATAATGATTCAGTTAAAAGTGTGTTAAAGTTAAAAAAGTCTCAGTGAGCTTGCTTACCCAGAACAATAATGACTAGTTGGATATTATTCTTATACAGTGTTACTTTTCTTAGCAATCCCCTTTATTCATCAGGATAGCCTAACCAGTCCAAAATAAACTGTCTGAAAGACAAGAATAAATTATTAAGACTATGGGACAATGACAGTTATCAGTAACAGAAAGAAATTGTCATATAATGGGTTTTTGATATAGTACTTGACAGAACAAATATTACAGAACAGGCCAAGGAGTATAAACAAATTTAAGCATAAAATCTAAATTATTCTATAGTTGAAAGTGCAATTCTTTTGTCTTCCATTATAAGTAACAGATATCACCTAACACCAAAGTGGAAAAAAATTCACAATAGTTCAAAAACTGTCTGTGACATGGTGACTATTATTTTCCTGGCCTTTTAGCCTTCCTTATAGGAACTTTTCCTGCTGTGCAGACTACTTTCCTTGTGCCAATTTTTCCTGCCTTTTTATTTCTGCACTTGATAAAGGTCATGGACACCTCTAGGAGGCAGATTATGGATAGTTATAGCAAGTCAGTGGGCATGGGAATTTAAGGGAACGTTTCTTTACTTGCTACAGACTGATCTTTCTCAGGTTGTCTTTGTTTTTGTTTGTTTGCTTTGTTTGTTGGTTTGTTTTGAGGAATATAAATGAAACAATATGTATATTTAAAATAGCCAGCCATAAGTTAAGCAGGTGTGACATTTACAAGACTGAAACAGTGAAAAATTAATTTCCAGGTGGAGAACTTATCTTTTTTAGATAAACAGAAATTTTCAAAGCCTCTGTCCAAAATCTCTTATTTTCCTAAAACCCTTTGCTCAGTATATAATTTAGTTTACCCTGATGACTCTTTCCTTATATACTCTAGGTTTGGTTCCAGAATCGAAGAGCAAAATGGAGAAAAAGAGAACGCTATGGTCAGATCCAGCAAGCCAAGAGCCACTTTGCTGCCACCTATGACATATCTGTTCTTCCAAGGACTGACAGCTACCCTCAGGTATGGTAAAGATCAAGCAGTACTTTGGTTCTACATTTGGCAGCTGTCCTAACTACTCTGGTTTTGTATACTTTGCTAAGATGAAGTATAAACTATCTGATCTCTAGACAGCTTCCTTTTGATGTGTCAAACATGGACCATGTCCTTATAGACCTCAACAGCCCATTAAATAGAACAAGTGTCCTACTAGCATGAAATTATTATATAGTCATACGGAATCAGAACTGAATATATATCACTGGGAGAGAGAGGCAGAGGGACAGGACAAATCTCTCATACCATTGGAGTTGGTTGAATTTGGGGTTTTTTGTCTTTTTCAGTTCCCTGTTAGTAAATAATAAGGTATACTGCATAATGAAGTAATAATCTTCTGTCTCAGTTCTCCACTCCTTTGATTTACTCTTTGCCTCACTCTGCTTTTGTTTGTCTCCTCGCTTGTTTTAGCACATTGAATATCTATTTTAGAGCCATTTTTTTTTCATGTCTCTGGCTACACATTGCTTTTACCACATAATTAATTAAAAAAAGCCCCATGCAAAGCAAAAAACTCTTGCATGGCTCCCTTCCACTACTGGTGTTTTGGTGCTGTTCAGCTTCATTAGGTAGCGGGGTCTCTGCCAACCTTAAAAAAAAAATACTCATATTCTATGTGAGCTTGCTTTGGTCATGCTCTAAATTGGCTGAATGAGGAGTTCCTCAGGGTTGGGGCAGAGTGGCTGGAAATTGACTCAGCAGAGAAGGGCCTGGGGGTGGTGGTTGTCAGCAGCTGAACGTGAGCCAGCTGTGCCCACATGGCCAAGAAGGCCAATGGCATCCTGGCCTGGATCAGCAATGGTGTGGCCAGCAGGATGTGGGCAGGGATTGTGTCCCTGTACTTGGCACTGATGAGGTTGCACTTCAAATCCTGCGTCCTGTTCTGGGCCCTCACTATGAGAATGACATTGAGAGGCTGGAGAATGTTCAAAGAAGAGCAATGGAGCTGGGGAGAGGTCTGGAGCACAAGTCTTGTGAGGAGCAGCTGAGGGAGTTGGGCTTTTTTGCCTGGAGAAAAGGAGTTGCAGGGGAGACCTTATCACTCTCTACAACTGCATGAAATGAGATTGTAGCAAGATGGGCCTTGGTCTCCTCTCCCAGAGAACAAGTGACAGGTTAAGAGGAAATAAGCTGAGCTGGGGGAGGTTTGGGTCAGACATCAGCAAGAATTTTTTCACTGAAATGGTGGTAAGCGCTGGAGTGGTGGAGTCACCATCCCTGGAAGTATTCAAGAATTGACTGGAAATGACAATTAGTGCTATGCTTTAGTTGGCATGGCAGTGTTTGCTGAAGTGTTGGACCTGATGATCTTGGAGGTCTTTTCCAACCTTAGTGATTCTATCATTCTATGAATGTGATTAGCTATGAACCACGGGTCTTTGGCTCATGTGCCATCTACTCAGTTTCATGTGCTTTACCTCTGAAGAGGTTACATATTACTAGGCTTGGTGCCTGGGCCAGAGCTGCCCTGTGCTCCAGCAGCTCAGAACATGGACACAACCATTTCAGCTGTTGTGGCACTTGTAAGTCATCTGGTTTTATTTTAACATGTAGCAGGGCAATAACCCAAATTACATTAGCAACCACTGCATGACTCTATGTTTAGGTAAGTGGACACAATCTTCGGTAGCCCCGGGTAGACTCACAAAGCTATAGATTTGCATTGACTCACAGATCTCATTTAAGGTGGTCAACTCTCCTTTCAAGGTCTTTCTGACTTACCTATAGCATCACAGCAAGTGATACAATGAACAGTGCTGAAGCTTTGGGATTTCTAGACTAAAATTGTGTCTGCCAGCTTATTTTGTATTTTTAGTAGGATTCCATCTACATCTAAAATGATTGTCCTAAAATTAATGTTTTTCAACAATCCCACATTTTTAAACTATATGATAATATGATCTATAAAATTCTAACCCAATAAAAGATCTATTCTGTACTTTCAGATTGTTAAAAAGATTAATTCTCTGCATTTCTGTTTATATTTTTTGTCAAAAAAATCTGCTAGGCAGATGACACAACTAAGCTTAAGCCTGACAAATATTTCCATCACTAATTAATAAATTCTTAAAAACAGAAGATTGAAATGCAGATGCTTGTTCCATCATCTTAAATCAAGCATCTCTAGTGTGTAGAAATACAAAACGTGAATATTCACAAGCACAAATGCCACATGCTCACCTACATGCACAGACTAACAGAGTGCAGGTAAATAGAGAGGCACAAAAGTGTAATTGGTCTGGTCACCTGCATGAGAATGCTGCCTGGTGCTGTTCTGCTGTTCTTGCTGTTCAAGAAGAAGGAGCTGAAGGAAGGTGTGAGCGCACTTTGGCTGTTTCAGCTGAAGGCTTGCATGCCTAGCTTGGCTACGTGTTAAAAACAAGGTAGTCCTCTCCTCAGAGAAAAATTTGGCTACTTTTCTGTATATGAGTAGGTATCCAGGCAATTACCACAGAGCATTTAATAAAAATTCATAGTCTTGCTAACCACGTGGTAGTTCTTAGTTTTCACATTCTGAAATCCTGTTCTTCAGTAAAACCACATCTCTATGATACATATAACATTTCCAGTGAGAGTGACTGAGGCAATGAAAATCTGTTTTAAAAACATGACTACTGACATAATTGCATTCAAATCTTTTGAACTAGATGTCCATTATTAAGCGCTTCACTTATGGAAAATAAATATACAGCTCCTGACTTGCAATAAATTCATCAATCTCACAACTCAGGCAGAAAAGGTATATGAAATGGTTTCATTTTAATGCTATAAATTGATTTCCCCCAAAAAATCCTTTATTTCATTGTAGTTAATGTAAGAGAAGAAAACAAATATCCTTTTTCCCTTTACTTTTGTTCCCATATCACCACCACCACAGGCACTCTTGTGACAATGAAATAAGCAAATATTAGACAAGCTTTGCCATACTTTTAAATAAATAAATTTTAAATGTACTTTTAAATAAGTTTTTTTTTTTCTTGTGGATTGTGGAACACAGATCACTAGAGTTTGTTTAAGAAACAACATGGAGAAAAGCAGACTCCCTGTTGCTGGAAGAAAATATAGGTTGAATGTTGAAAAAGGGTGAAATCAAGCTGAGAAGTTTACAGCTTTATGGCAGAAAGAGCAGGAACAAATATGAATTTCTGGTGTGCATTATAAGGATTTGCAGCCCGTGGATTTTTCTGGTTTGAGTCCAGCCATGGATATGTTGAGAAAACACATTCCAGCAGGAGCTTCAGTCTCTTGCAGTCGACAGAGGGTGTTGTGGAGACTTCTGCTTAGTCTCTTCACCAATTATTTTCATCAAATGGAAATTAAGAACATCATGCTGCTATGCATTGTGTGACTTCATAAACCTGAAACGTTTCTCTTGTAAGAAAATGAATCTTTCAACTCATTTCAGACAGAAGCTTGGCTCTGAATAAGAAAAGGGTTGAGGTTGGAAGTGACCTCTGAAGGTGATCTGGTCCAACACCTTTGTCTATAATCCAGTCTACTTTTGCTGTTAAATCCATGTCTTTATTTTCACAATAATAACAATTTAGATATTTTTTGGTAGATCATAATTCGTTGCTTTGCTCTTTCAGTCTAATTTCAATTATTTTTACAGTATTTTGACTTTAGATTTTTTGTTTGTTTGGTTGGTTTTTTTAATTGCTTGTCTGAGAAATTGAATATCTCCTGAATTGAACCTTCCAAGAAATTGAATATCTCCTAAACTGGCCAAATTCTGCCTACATATATCTTCCATTAATAATACTATCAAAACCTGGGTTACAGAGAAGGGCCGTTTGTACAATATTCTAGAAAAATCATCTGTTATTTAGATTTTGTTTTTCAAAGCTCTAACAACATTATGCTGAAAATTAGATTTTTCTAGGAAAATTTTATGGACAGTGATTTTCTTTAATTTTAGTAAAAGTTTTCAGTTTCACTACTTTCAGTGTTTGAACTTCAATGTTTTAGTGCAGATACAACACATTGTGTTCTAAGTCATCTTAAGTGCACTCAGGAAAACACATATCCTAGACATTTTTAGCTTAACTAGCAATATCCTATTGCTATGAAAGTGAAGATGGAACATCATAAAAGCAGTGGGGAAATGAATGCAGATTCCCTTCATGGGGAAGTTCACTTCACCAGAGTGAATGTTAGTAAACAGGCCTTACTTAATTTTGTCCCTTAAATACAGCGTAGAGTGTTATTAAATATGTCTCAGGATATCTGAGACACTGTTGAATTGTTGAGGAACAGGATTTAAAAGAAGGATCCGGCCTTCATTTTAGGCAGCCATGGTCAGATAAGTATTAGACATTTGTGTTTAGGAAACTTGACCAAAGGAACTTCTATGCCAGACATGGGTTCCCTTTACAGCTGTCAAAAACTCTGATCAATTAAAATTTTTATTCCTAAAATGTTAGGTGTAAAATAGGTAAGATGATCTGCCAACATTTTTTTTTATTTTGGTACCTGGTTCAGCTGCAGTCATTTGTAGTTATCTACACAGATGTATAAATATGTTGGAAGAGGAACAATAAAAAAGCCTCTTTAGCTTTGTTCTTCTCTTACCTTATTGGTCTTCATTTGACTCCCTCTGCCACCCTATGTTAGTGGGAAGGCTCCTGTTACAAAGGTATTTGATCTCATCAGATTTGATGATTACCTATGAGAACTAAAAAGAAAACCTGAGACAAAATTTCATTTTACCCCTCCTCCTCTATTTACACACACAAGAGCCTATTCTATTATCACAGCTATCCCTGTGTGAATCAAATTTATAAAGATGTTATCTTTATAAGTGCATCAGTATGTAAATGAACATTAACTTGAGGCATTGAAAAGCAGATAAAAAAGGTGAACATTTTCTCCCGTCTAGGCTCTTTCCTTTCTTTGCATTTTTCCTCCTTACTTGTTCTTTGAATCATGTTAATTTGTTGTAATTTTTCTTCTAAGTCCGTTTAAAA